TCTGCAAGGGTATAAAAATATATATAGAATTAATGGAAATAAATTGATAACATCGTTGTTTTTTATCCCATGAGCATGATTTTTTGAATATCAAGTTTTTCAACAACTCTTATATTGAGAAAAACGTTTCATAAAAATCGGACAACTATATCTTATAGCTGCCATAGGAAAGATCGAAAAATCTATATAGAAATATCAGAAATATAGTTGTAACATCGTGGTTTTTCATCAGACATGTACAATTTTTGAAATATAGAGTTTTCTTACGACTCTTGAATTACGAATTAAATTTGATCAAAATCGGACAACTATATCATATAGCTCCCATATATGGAAATATGGAAAATGAATAGAAAAATCGTCATAGCTTTGATTGCGTTTAGCCTTTATGCATTTTGTGATTTTTTATGATTTTTTGAAGGTGACAATGTCGGAAAAAGTTTGTATGGAAAAGAGAAAAATATGGCTGAAATGCGTATTTCTAGTCATTTTCAAAAAATCATAAAAAATAGAAAAAAAATTATTTTTGAAAAATTCTTTTTGCAGTTCCTATTATTTTTGATTAAAGAAACTTTTTGCATCCAAAAATTTTAGTTTTGAAGCCGAGGGAAAAAGTTTTTTTTTTACTTTTTTTTAAAATTGCCCTGTTCAATAAATATCGAATGAGTTGAGAAAAGTATGGTATCATTCAAAAGGCATTTGAATTACCTTTCCATTGATACCAAAAGTTAAAAGAAGCAAGTTCAGGTTTCGAGTATATTTCACTTTTATTTTGACAAAATACTTATGGCCACCACTGTATGTACATAAAGGAGTAAGGGGCACAACTAGTGTGACGGCCCAAAAAAAAGGTGATTTTTGAGAATTTTTATAAAAAAAACTACTTGATCAATTATTTTCAAATTTTCAGAATATATTTATACATGGTTTAAAAGAATATACAGTGATTTTTCATGATAACAAATAAGTTTTATTTACGTCGATCAGCCAACCTAATGGCTATAATACGTAAAGCATAACAAAGAACAGATAACATGAAAACAATAACAGGAGATGTACAGTAACAATTACTGTTTCAGGACTCGGGAAACATTGCGTCCTCTTGTCCAGAGATCGCCGGTGTGTCTCCGTTTCAGTCTTCTTCGGATAGCTTGATTACGTAGAGACGCTGCTAGGTGGTTGGGGTGCGCTATGAGGCGATCGCTGTAACGACTCGAGTGTAGGTTGATCTGCTCTCTAATGGAGGGAATGTGGAGATCATTTGCTAGGGCGTCGTTTCGAACGTACCAAGGCGCGTTTGCTATCATGCGTAGCGCTCGGTTTTGGGTTCTCTGCACTTTCATGACGTTAGTGTCAGAAGCCATGCCCCATATCTGAATGCAATATGTAATCGACGGCATCACGATCGATTTATACAGCAACACTTTGTTGCCAAGGCTGAGCTTGCTCGTTGGCTTAAGCAACCAGTTCAACTTCCTGAGTTTACTCCGACATGTAGCTGTTATTTTCTTGGTGTGTTCTTTCCAGGTAAGCCGCTTTTCTAGGATCAGTCCCAGATACTGCGCCTGGGTGACTGTGGGATGGTGACGTCGTGGAGTTCGACTCTGGGTAGGACCTTTCCTCTCAAAGTAAAGTTACAATGTTGCGACTTCCTGCCATTTATGGCAATATTCCACCTGTTAGCCCACTTGCCATACGAGTCCAGAAATTCCTGGGTGATCCTTGATGCCTCGATTCGGCAGGAAGAGTTCACAAGAAAGGCAGTATCGTCAGCATATGTGGCCAAAAGTGTGCCCGGTTCAACAGAACTTGGCAGGTCTGATGTGAACAGGGTGTAGAGAACAGGACCCAGAACGCTTCCCTGCGGAACGCCAGCACGAGCAAATCTAATGCTTGACCTTTCCCCTCTCACCTCGACCATAAAACTTCGATCAAGCAGGTATGATTTCAGTAGAAGGAATTGGCCAGTCGGAAGTAATGACTTCAACTTATGAAGTAGTCCGTAATGCCATACTCGATCAAAAATTTGGGTTTGTATACATAAGTCGAGCGCCCCTTAGCCGTATTTTCCATCGAAAACCAATTTTTTGTTTCTAACGGAGAATGACAACAGTGCAATTAGAAAAACGAAAGGATAGAAGACAAATTTGGAGTCGGGCCGCCGTCGGGTGCAAGCAACGAGATCGTATTCGAAGAGTGAGAAAGAGGGGAAAACTTAGGAATATCCCTTTTTAGTCAGTGCGTTCGTGCTTGTTGAAGGATGAGCACGCGTGCGGACGAATTTTTTTAGAGTATTAACCCTTGTGCAAAGATGTCGTTCTGCCCTTGGCTGCAAACTTTTTTTTGTTTTTTAACATGTCGTTTCAGATAATTTTAGTATAACAAAAAATGTAAAGGAGAAACTATTAATAGCTGCTAAGAAACATTAATTTAGATATTACAAAAATTTACTTTAATATTGACACTTATTTTAAAATTAAGAACCTAAACAAAGAAATAACTCTCCAATAATAAAAACAACGTTCAATTTTAAATTCAAAACTTTTAAAAATTAAATTATAAAAAACTTCAACTCTTTTTACTATAAATGAACAATTTGAGCCCCATGCACCATCTAAGGGTTAACAAAAAGCTTTTTTTGTCGTCTCACTCGCACTTACTACGCAGACTCCTCTCACTCGCACTTGTTGTGAGTAATGAATAACGTAGTGCTTTTACCGACGAGACTACCTTGTATAATTGTACCATGGTCTATACAATGACCTACGATAAATAAAAAAATATCATAAATTGACAAAATGGCGGCGTTTAAAAAAAAATCGAATCTTAACCAAAATTTTGGTCGTTTTTGGCCTGCCAAAATTCGATTTTTGATCGGATCAAAAAACCGATAGTTCATGGTACGGAGAACTAAGGTGCCCGAAATAAGTATGTAGGACACCTAATTTTTTTGTTTAACAAAATAACGCTTGAATATTTTTCAAAAAAACAAATTTGCAATTATTCTTTATTTAATATGTAACACTTTTCACAAAATATTATAGAAAATAAATCAAAAAACTTTCAAACGAAATAAGTAAGTAGGACAAAGTCAAAATAGCAAGCTTAACGGTAATTTTAGTAAGAAAAAGTATATATATATTTTAAATAGTGCATCCTTTGTTGTCTAATACCTTAAGAATTCGTCCTGGCATTGAATTAATTAAGTTTTTCAGTATTTCTATGTCGATTTTCTTTACTTTAAGACTACTGAATTGTTTCCCATTAGCATAAACCTTTTGGGATAATATGCCCCAAAGATTTTCAATTGGATTTAAGTCCGGGCTGCGAGCTGGCCATTCCAAAATTGGGATTTGCGATGATGAAAAGAAGCTCCTTGTATGCTTTGCACAGTAGATAGGTGCATTATCCTGTTGAAAAGTCCATTCTTCACCAAAACAATTCTCTCCAAATTGGAGTAGAAGATTTCTACATATGTTTGTGCATTCATTTTATGAGATATAAAGCACATAGGAGACTTACCATTATATCCAAAGGCAGCCCATACCATGAGAGACCCACCGTGAAAGTTCCTGGAGACGTGGACTTATTTGGGACTTCTTATATCGCGATAATAATAACGATAGCCATCAGGGTTATCTAAATTAAATTTTTCTTTTATTTTTATGAAATTTTTTTCTCTATTCAAGGGTATTTGAAAAACTCTATGTTCCAAAAATCATGCTCATAGGATTAAAAACAACGACGTTATAATTTTTTTTCAATACCTATTTATATATACATTTTTTGATCTTTCCTATGGCAGCTATATGATAGAGTTATCCGATTTTGATAAGATGTAATCCGAAATTCAATAGTAGTTAGAAAACACTATCTGGAAGAAATGAAGTCAATTTGATGAAAAAAAACGAGGTAATAATTTATTTTCCGTTGTTTTTTTGACTTCTTGTATGGGAGCTATCCAGTATAGTCGCCCGATCAGGCCGGTTCCTTCTTATATACTGCGTGCAATAACTACACAACTTTTGGTAAAGTTTGCGTAGAAACAGACAGGAGGACAGACGTACAAATGTATTTCGATTCAGATGGTGATGCTGATCAAGAATATATGTAGGTACCTTATGGGGTCTGAGGTGTCTCCTTCAACTGCGTTGAAAAATTCTTACTGAAATTATAATACCCTTTTGCTCTGCAAGGGTTAATAAAGTTTTTATTAAAGCTTTACATTCATGGGTAAAGTTGCGCTTTAGCGGCTTTTGTTAAAAATGGGCTAAGATTTTTTTTTTTGTTTAAGGTATACCTTGGGGCCTAAACATTAATAAAAAAGTGGCGGAAAGCTTGATTTCTAATTATTTATTTGTAAAAATAGCAAAAAAAGCAACTGGCCATAGCTTTTCTATATATTCACTCACTACCATAAAATCACTCTGAGTCATTTCGCAACCTTTACAGCGTTCAGTATTAAAATTGGCAGTGTCTGACATGGTGAAAATGTTTAATTTCTTTTGTTTTTAAATTTTCACACAATTGCAGCACTCTTCATCCACAATACATTCTTCCCGGTAAAGTTTTTCGCTTGAAAAACATGGCAATGTTCTAAAACGGGTTGTCTCGCGGCAGTGATAATTGCTATTTTAACACATAAATAATTTAAATTTACGCTTTCCGCCACTTTTTTATTAATGTTTAGGCCCCAAGGTATCCCTTTAAAAAAAAAATCCTAGCCCATTTTTAGCAAAAGCCGCTAAAGCGCAACTTTACCCATTCATGAATATTCGTACCGTATTTTTTCTCATCTTGCACCTTTAATTTGGTGGTAAAGTGCATTTGCTGGTGTACACGCCATCAGAGGATAACTGCTTCGCTTGCTTCGCGAACTAGTTCTGAAGGACGACAGGGTACACAACAACCCCAAAACTTTGAATGATAACAAGTAAGCTTTTATCGCTGTGGACAGCAACCAATGGAATTAAAGCTTTTGCAGGATTTTATAAGCCTTTTCATAATGATAGGCAAAATTTACTATTCTGAAAAAGCATTCAATGCTTATAGTGGAATTGTGTAAATAACAAAAAAATCTCCTGCAAAAGTTATCTAAAATCGTTGTTATACTGAGTGTTGAGAGTGTTTTGGAAAAAGTTAACACAATTTCGAAAAACTGCACAATCGATAATCAGTTAACTGAAAATAGGGTCCATGTGGCCAACATTTGCGTTGTAAAAAGGATTTACTCCATACATATATGACCCGTGCTATGATTCTTAATAATAAATATTCCTAAGTGAGCAGTACAGAATTTAATAAATTTATCAAATCGACACAGAAAGGTAAGTTTTTCTTCTTTATCAAAATGTGAAGGATCAACCCTTACCAAGAAATAAAATATAAGTGAGAGTATTTAAGTAAGCAAATTAAGCAAAAATAAAATAATATCGAAAATTCGGGTGTGGTCGAAAAAATTAAAACTTTCATTTCAGAGCCGATGAAAATTTCATGTCGGATTCACCATGTAGTTATTCATGTAAAGGTATTCCTGCCTTTCGTACATCAACTGTCAACTGTGGGTTGCCAGGCAAAGCAAATATTTATTATTTGTTTAAATTGCTTGAATTTATCAACTAGCATGATATTATATATTGCATACAAATAGCTTAAAATAAATATTTTTGTTGTAAATTTGTTGTTATTCTCTGTAAATCATAAAAAGATTCTTTATATTGCTTTAATATTTATTATTTTTCCGACATAACAAAATTGGGGGAGCTTAAAGTTATTGGGGTGCCATGATTTGAGACCTTTTTTTTTAATTGGCCCAAAATAAACAGTTTAACCAAACAAATAATTTTTTTTAGATATCTCGCACCGCTCACGAGATGTTCTCATATTAAAGTCAGATTATAGTATAAACTGAAGGCGGGCGAAATAAATCTGCCAAATATTTATTGCACATAATCGTGGCAAGAGAAAATAGCGGGACTGCTGATAATGCCCATGATTGATAGCCGCTTTCGTTTTGCAATAACACTGTGTGACAAAAAATGTTTAAGTTGATTTTTTCTTATTTTTTTTTTTTTTTTGCATATTTTACAGCCTTATAATCACATATTGGGAAAATATTTTTTCACCGTTATAAGCGTTCATGCAAGTTCAATATCTATTAATTAAAATGTATTAAGCAAGTATACCGTTAGGTTTTTATCACAATGCTTTAAAATTTGTTTCTACCAGCTCTATACTCTGGGGACTACGTATGGAACTTGTTACGCGAGGATACCTCTGAAAAAGCCAAAAAAAAATCAGGAAAAAAAATTCACTTTCAAAAAAATAATAGTTTATTGAAAGTAAAAAAAAAAAACAATATTTTGTGTTAATTATTTTCATAATAATAATTTCATAAAATTTACCATGAAAAAATAAATAGTATCACTTAAAGGTGGCATAGATATTTTTGTGCATAATTTATGCACCTTAACCGAAAACAATCAAAAAAGTAACTTAAACAAAGATTTTGTTAAATTTTGTCGCACAGTGTAATTTAATGATCGTTGAGGAGAAAACTTCTGCTAAAGTTGGAGTGACTTAGCGTTAATAATCCAAAGGGACCAAAAAAAAAAATTGACTCAAAAATGCATTGGCAGTGATATTAATCGACGGAAGAAATTGCCGTTTGGAAATTCCCGATGTTCTGGCCTTTATTTTCTGCTTTGTATAAAAAATGAATGTAACGAATGTTTTTCAACATTTACAAACACGACAATGAGCCTCACCTCCTCCGGTCCTCCGGTCCTCCTATCCGTTTCTGCGCAATCTAGTCTCTCAGTTTTAAAGCTATTTTGCTGAAACTTTCCTAAAAGGTGTGTAGTTATTGCACGCAGTATATACCTATGTCGGAACGGGCCAGATCGGCCGACTATATCGGATAGCTCCCAAACCAGAGAATGAAATAAAAAATTCTCAAGCCGTTGTTTTTGATCTGATCGACTTGATTTCTTCTAGATGGCTTTTTCTATCTATCACTATTGAATTTCGGATAAAATTTTATTAAAATCGGATAACTCTATCATATAGCTGCCATACAAAAGATCGAAAAATATAGGTACAATTTTATGCATTAATTTTAATTATATAATTCTTATTATTATTATTTTTATTTTTATTAGGTGGCACTACAACCCGATTTGGGTTTTGGCCGACCTCAGCTTCTCACTCCAGACGCCTCTGCTCTTCGCGCGCCTCCTCCAATCGGAAATACCCAGTGCAGTCAGGTTCTCCTCCACTTGGTCCTTCCATCGGAGCTTTGGTCGTCCCCTTCGTCGTCGCCCGTAGTCGACCCTCGTTTCAAATACCTTCTGAGCTGGAGATTCTTCATCCATACGCACAACGTGGCCGAGCCAGCGCAGACGTTATATTGTGATGCGCCGGACCACTTCCACGTCGTCGTACAACACGTACAGCTCGTGGTTCATCCGAATGCGAAAGTCGTCCCCAATCCGAACGGGACCAAAGATCTTGCGAAGAATTTTTCTCTCGAACATTCCAAGCGCTGCTGCATCCGTCCGTATGCTTCTGCGCCATATAAGAGCACAGGTAGTGTCTTGTAGAGTTTTAATTTTGTTCGGCGAGAGAGGTCTCTATTGTACATTTGCTTACTCAGATTAAAGTAGCACCTATTGGCAAGTGTGATTCCTCGCTTGATCACCCGACTGAAGACATTTTTGGTGGCAGTGCCAAGGTACGTGAACTCCTTGACCACTTCGAAGGTATAGCTGTCCGCTACCACATGGGAGTCTAGGCGCCGCGCCTCCCTGCTTGTCGACAGCATATATTTCATCTTGCCCTCGTTTACCGCCAAACCCACTTTTGCCGACTCTTTTTCGGTAGCGGAAAATGCAGCAGTGACATCACGCTTTTATAAAAAATAGTGCCAGATGGATGTACACCGGCTTTCCGAAGAACCCCTTCCATCCCGAAATTGAAGAGGTCGCACGACAGGGGGTCGCCTTGTCTGAAACCTCAAATGGTATTAAAAGGTTCGGAGAGGTTCGCTCCTACTTTGACAGAGCTGATGGTGCTGCTCAATGTCATTCTGCAAACCGAACTCAGCCATGGTGGCATATAGGCGTTCCCTCGTCAGGCTATCGAATGCAGCTTTGTAATCGTCAAAGAGATGGTGTGTGTCCATTTTATTTTCGTTGGTTATTTCTAGGATTTGGCGTAATGTGAAGATTTGGTCTATGGTGGTCTTACCAGGTCTGCGGCCGCACTGATAAGATCCGATCAGTGTGCTGGTATATGGCTTCAGTCGTTCACATATAACGCTCGATGGTATCTTGTATGAGATGGCAATCAGGCTGATTCCCCGGTAATTGGTGCATATCGTCGGGTCACCTTTCTTTAGTACAGGACAAAGGACGCTGAGGTTCCAATCGTTGGGCATGCTTTATTCTAGCCATATTTTACACAAGAGCTGGTGCATGCACCTTATCAGCTCTTCGCCGCCGGCCTTGAACAACTCTGCAGGCAGTCCATTAGCACCGGCTTTTGTTGATTTTGAGCCGCATAATAGCAACTCGGACCTCGTCATGGCTAGGTAGTGGAATATCCACATTGTCGTCGATTGGTGGTATCGGGCTGCTTCCTCCAATGGCGAGATTGGTGCCTTGTTCTCCCTGTAACGTTAACACGTAGCTCGTCTTGCGCCAGACTGCACCGTTTTTTTGTGGGCGGTGTTTTTTGCCGGAGCTGCGACGCGACACTGCTCGTCATACCATTGGTTACGTGTGGGTGGGCGCTTGAACCCAATGGCTGTTTCGGCAGCGGCTCGCATGGAGTGGGATATGTGCGCCCAGAGTCCGCCGGCGTCAACAGGGAGAGGGTTAAGTTGGTGGAGCAGTTCCAAGAAGTCTGTGGAGTAGGCTATTGCTGTCCGTTGTGATCGCAGCCTAGTGAAGTCAAGCTTTCGTTGCGTGATGGGGCGTATGTTTTTCGCTCGGCATAGCCGCATGCGTATCTTGGCAGCGACAAGATAGTGGTCCGAGTCAATGTTGATTCCACGAAACGTACGCACGTCCATCACACTTGAGGCATGACTTCCGTCTATCACAACATGATCAATCTGGATGCTCGTTTTTTGATCAGGGGACAGCCATGTGGCCTTGTGGATGTCGAGGAGCCCGAAATCTGGTGCTACTCATTACCATGTTTCGCTCCGCGGCGAAGTCAATCAGCCTAAGACCGTTGTTCGAGGTGGTCTCATGGAGGCTGAATCGACCAATGGTGGGGTCAAAGATGCGTTCGCGCCCAACCTTTGAGATGAAGTCCCCGAGGATGATCTTCACGTCGTGGTCTGGGCAGCCGTCGTATGTGTCCTCGAGTCTCGCGTAGAATGCATCCTTAACAGCATCGTCCTTCTCCTTCGTCGGGGCGTGCGCGTGCGCTTTGACGCGGATTGTAGCCAGCCATTCACTCACTGGGGTGAAATTGGAGACTTGGTGGCTGTTTGTGGGGAGTACACCGAATATGCCACCCTTGTAAATAATTAAACGCACGAGTAGGTTTAAATTATTTCAGTATATTTTTTTGAAGCTGCAACTCTTCGTTTTATGTTTTTGTGATATGTAAACAATGTGTGCGAGATAAATGTATGCATGACTGAGGTGGCGCCAGCCGAAAGCGCGGCTTCTTTATACCGTCGTTCTCACTAGAATAGATAACATAGATAAACAAACATTAGAGAGACTTGTAGAGCGGTTGATAAATCCCTACACCTATGTGCACCAAATTAGGTGCTGGCTGTCTGCTCCGAACATACTCCCCCCGTTGGATGAGGTACAGCTCCAACTTGATGGGAATCGATGGGCAGAACGGCCAGTTTGGCGACGGCTCTCTTGACGATGCCCGTAGCTGTATGAACCATAGCTACTTTGACGACCCCGTCCTCGCTGAAATGTTGCCCTCCTTCAGCAACAGGAAATTTGGTGTAGCTGGAACTCTTTACGAAATGCGCCGGCGTTAGCACCTCAAGGCTTTCAGCGTTTTCTGAAATTGGATAGAGGGGACGTGAATTAAAGATAGCAAAAATCTCGTAAGCAAGAGTTCTTAATTCATCGAGGGATAAGATGGATGGACCGACGACTCTGTAGAAGTGAAACTTGGCCGATTTGACAGCGGCCTCACATAGACCACCGAAGTGTGGGGCACGTGGAGGTATGAACTTCCAATCTATCCCGGCCGCTAGGCACTACTCTTCTGTGGACACGGCATGCTCTGGCTAAAAAATCCATATTACTTGGCTAAGTGAACCTGCTGGATGCTCCTCAGAATAAGTACGGTCCCCGAGTTGATCTCCTCAACAGAAAGATGGCCATTTGAAGGTAAAGCCTTGGACTTGCAATTCGAAATAAATCGATACACGTACGCAAATACACGCTGCAACTTATCAAACGAGTTAAGGAATTTGCAGTTAGCAGAAACATCAACGCAAACGGTTCCAATTAGAGTCGCGTAACGACGCTCCGGAAGATCCTTTGCTACAAATAGCAGGGAAGGCCATTCCGATGAGTTATGCCAAAGAAATGGAGGTCCATTAGCCCAAAGGAAATGCTCCAGCAATTCTCTAGGGGTACAGCATGATGCCAAGACATTCCTTTCGTTATCTCCTGAGTTTTTGCGATTCGGTTGGATACAAACACGTTGAACTCCCTCGGAGGTTGACTAATCCACGCCAACACGAAAGACGAGTCAGACCAGCAATGAAAGGCATAATCGAGATCTATCGTTTCCTTGATGTTTACGATTAGCTTTCCAAGAAAAGTTCTACTGAAAGTTCCAATCTTGGAATTGTTAAGGCCTTCAACGGGGCTACTCTCGACTTTGCGCAAAGTAGATAAGCTTTTGTGCCTTCATTGTCCTCCGACCGGAAATATAGGCAAGCTCAATAAGCTGATATGCTAGCATCGCAGAATCCATGCAACAGGATGAACGCTTGCTTGACTCTTCAATCGTATCGCCCCCAGAAATTAAATGCTCGACATAGAAATCTCTACGAATAATCTCTGCTCCAATTGGAAATGATACCTTTTCATCATAAGAGAGCTAATACATGGCTCTTATAGCCAGAAAGCATCTGGCTTTGTTCCATAGGTTTGTAAACACTCAACTCATCCGTTGAGTTTTCTCGCCAAACGATGCACTGCAAAAAATCTCGTACACGTACGCAGCGGTACATCTTGCAGATGTCTCCACAAAGAGCTACTTTAAAGAACCTTAATCGAAGCAATATGTCAAAGATTTTTTGCTAAATGATCGGCCCTGTAAGAAGTAAGGTACCAGAAGTCGTTTTAGTAGACCCATCAAAGACGACAACAAGCTTTGTGCTCGTGCTCTCAGACTGATGTACACAATGATAAGGCAAGAAAAATTGCGGTATCGCTGGTTTCTGGTAGTTTCCAAACTCTTGAAACGACGACGAGCCAGGCAAGAGGAATTACCTAGAGTTTCGAATGCTGATGCGGACAAGAGGCGAACAGAATATTTAACATTCTCAAACCTAGTGCAGTTTTCCTTAAAAAGATGTTCACACTGCAAGTCCTCAGGCAACAAAACCAACTTCGCAGAACTAACGTCTTCTATTTCCCAAAATCGCTTTACAATAGCAGTTAGTGTTTCATCATCAGAATGAATAATTGGATACTTAATAACGGCAGCTAAACCAGACTTATGGTTTGGAATACTTGACATCCCTCCAGAAACGATCCAACCAAGCCTCATAGTAATTATTTCAAAGAACAGACCAATTGGGAACCTAAATCTACAATGGCTCGGCAAGGCATGAAAGCACAAACTCTATTTTTAACGTAAATTATGGCAGTTGGAAGCAACACGTATTCCGTCGGAATACTATTTGAGGCTCTGGGTGGAGGGTTAGCCAAATGTTGAATATATTGCGAATGTGATCACGAAACTAATGCTGATAAAGGGTTCAGGAGTGGTTCAGATGATGGAGACGAAATTGAGTTCGATAATGATGAGGGGTCCGCGGTCATGTGCAATAATGACTTGTGCCTCCGACAATGTTTGCAATGCGAAGCCTTACATTGTTGCAAACTTTGTCTCTTGCGCAAACAATTTAGGCAAAGGTGCATCTTCTTTGCTTCTGAATATAATATTTGGACTCAAATTTAAAATTTGATTTGAGTTTGATCTGTACAAGTTGTTTCCCACCTGTTGGCCTGGTGTTTGGATTACCACGGATTGATCCAGGTTCTACATCATCCTGCATCTCTTCTCCAGGAACGAATCCATGGCAGTCCATGTTGGAAGCTCAGCAATGGCCAAGGCCTCTTCCCACTTTTCCACCGTTCTCTGGTCCAGTTTTTGAGCGACGATGTGAATCACTGGCCAAGGTTCGGATTTCTCGTAGATGTGAGTTCATGAAGTCACTGAGCTCCCGAAGACCCGTTGCTGATCCCTTCTCGACACCCTTCAACCCAAATATAACCTTTACGTGTGCCTGAAAATTCAAAACTTTAATATCAAAATGCCTTTTGATAGTTTTGATTCGACTGTTCTAGCGAGCGTATGGACTCCAGAGCCACGCCGCCTAAACTAGACCGTAAATACTGCAATTTTCCGATACCAGTTAGCTCTTCATTATTTCCAATAACCGTATTGAAATTGGCGAAAAAGTCCAGCCGATCGGAGTAGGATCCATAAAACCGCGCAATCTCCAAACCTGGTAATCGAGGCTTTCTAGATCGCAGAGAAAGATCTCGAATATTTGTTAAATCAAAACACGTCAAATTGACAGCTGTGGCCCACCAAATTGAAATTTGCGTTGAGCCGCTAAGCCCCGATTTAGCTTAGCCTCCACATCCATTACGATTTTTACTCCATCCTTGTGACGCCCGTAAGCTCGGCTAAGTCCAGCCTCTCCAGCGATGTCTGGGCGGAATTAAACGCCAAGTTTTGTGCCTCGATCCACTTTAACCGCGCAAGAATATCGGCTTCATCAAATTAGTCGATATTGTTGGAGACTAAATACTTTTTGACCGCATTGATTTTCTGCAAAATGGATTGCACTTTGGCCCGAAAGAATCACTACAACCCCACTTCTTCACTTTTAGGTGACGCACACGCGTTTCGCTGAAAAACTTGTTTTCGCGAACTCAGATATAAAACACGTCCGGCACGCAACGACTTTTCTACGAATCACCCACTGTGTATGTATGTTTGTGTGTTTGTGATCGAATGCCCGCAAACGACGACAAATATTTAACCGATATTAAAACAAAACGAAAATAAAGTTGCGGATTCCGATTTTAACGAAAACGTCGGGGCACCAAAATGTTTGTGGGGAAGACACCGAATATGCCACCCTTGTAAATAATTAAACTCACGAGTAGGTTTAAATTATTTCAGTATATATTTTGAAGCTGC